AGACCCACACAGCACATTTGGTGTCCAGCAGAACATCAAGGGCCACATGGGAGGAGGGCAGCGGGAAGTGCCAGGTGCTGGACACGGCCAGGCCTGGAGCAGCCGCCAGACACACCAGGGAGCCGGAGAAGGGGGTAAGGACAGACAGGAGAGACGGTCGGGGCAGTGCCCGGGGCGGCACATGTGCGCCCACGTGGACGCCAGCCCAGCGTGCACAGCAGCACCACTCGTAACGCCCAAGAGGGGGAAGAGGCCAGGCGTCAAGAGCCGACGGGCAGATGACGCACACGTGGTCCGGCCGCACGGCAGAACGGCGCTTGGCCAGGGTGCTGCTCTGACACGGCGTACGTGCTCGCTGGGGGACGCCACGCGGGTGCAGAAAGGTGGTCACGCAGACCACAGGGCGCGGGACTCCGTTCACGTGAACGGCAGGAACTGGCACATCCACAGGGGCAGGAGGGCTGGGGCGGGTCCTGTCCGGGCTGACCGAGACCCTACAGCTCATGTGGGGCGGCTGCAGCCTCTCTGCACATCCTACCACTGTCTGGCCCAGGAGCCCCTCTCAGCACAGCCCTGCGCGGCCGGCAGACGGGGGCAGCTGCACAGACTCACACCCCAAATCCGCAGCCCTGCAACACAAAGACCTCCGCGGCTGTTCCGGAGCTGTCACTGACGTGGTGGCGAGCCCCTGAGGAAAACGGCCCGAAGCGCCCAGGCCCTGAGCGCGCAGCAGAGTGTGCGTCCAGCACGGCTACCTTGATCTGTGTGACGTTCCCCCCCAGCTCGGTGGGCGTCTGCAGGGCCCAGCGGTCGCTGCCCTCCGGCTCTCGGCTGCCCAGGGGCTGTGGCACTCTCCTCCACACAGCCACCCGCCCCTTGTCGGTGCCAGCTAACCACAAGCAGGAGGCGGAGGAGGGGAGAAGGTGGTGGGGGAGGAGGAGGAGGCGGAGGGGCAGGAGGTGTAGATGGAGGAGCCGCAGGCGGAGACCATCCCACCCTGCCCCACCCCGCCGGCTGGCTCCCAGGCTCAGCACGCTAAGCTCTTGCAGACACCAGACCAACACGGCTAGGCTCGTCTGGCCTCCCGCTCATGCGTGCCAGCTCAGGCACACGCAGCTGCACCCCCATGCTTGTGCACACGGACGTGCTCACACCTGCTGCATTCCCGTGGGGTGAGGGCATGGAGAGCAGGCCAGCGTGCAGCCGTGTTCTGTGCCCAAGCTGCCCACGTGCCATGCGGGATGTGCAAGCTCTCCTGTGCCCTGTCCAGGCCACTGTGCTCGGGGGCCCCCACCCGCGGCCTGGGTGTTGTGCTCTTGCACTGCAGAGGGCTCACCTTTGACCTTACAGTAACTGAGACAGTTGATATTTTCCCCTTTTTCAAAGCCGAACTTCTCCTCTGGACTCAGCACGTAATTCTCCCCGCGTTCTAAGTCCCAGAACCTAGGACCCGGGGCAGAAGGCTGCTGGGGGCCTGTGGTGGCATGGTCCGTCCCGCAGAGCAAACGCTGCCACTCGGGAAGAACCCTGCAGACAGCTGCCCGGAAAGGGCGCTGTGCCGACATCTCGACCAGCTCACCGTGTTCACGAGCTGTGGCGCATACCAAGCGGGGTGTGGGCACAGGTCACCCACCACAGCAGCTGCAGAGGGGCACACGGCTGGCGCCAGAGGCCACGCACGGCTTCATGTGTTCGCTCAGAACCAGGATGGCCTCCGCGGCCCGCATGGGCCGCTTGCCAGTGGAGGAGGCGGGGTAACCCGCAGGGGTCCCTACCATGGGAGATGCCCAACTTCTTTAAGTCCCTCCCCGGAGGGCACGGCAGTCGCCTGGGTGAGCCTGCCCCACTGGAGCCAGCACAGGCTGCAGCCTGGAGGGGCGCTCTCACCTGAGGACCGCCTCCCCGGTGGCCGTCACCAGAAGGCTGTCTTCAATCAAAGCGATGTCCGCCCGGCGGCCTGGCTTCCCACTCAGCTTCACCTGGACACGAGAGAGCACCCGTAATCAGCCAGTGCTCCTGCCCAGCCCACCTCCTCGGAGTCCTCACACCTGTGGTCTCTAGCCTTCGGTGACATTGAGGGACCTGCTGTGTGGGGATGTGGAGGGCGGTCCAGTGGAGTCCAAGGGGCACCTCCAAGGGGCCCGGCCAAGCAAATGACTTATGCACTGGCCAAGGCCACCAGCCGATGCGTGTTTGTGCCAGACCCTGGCAGCTCTAACCATCCCCCATTGGCAGGACAGGCCCTCCAGGGCCACTGCGGTGAGAAGCGAAGTGGGGTGCTGGGAGCTGGGAGCTACAGGCTGGCCCGGCCCTCCCCACATTCCCACGCTGAAGCCCTGCCCCCAAGTGGGCTGCCTTGGGGACCGGGGCCATCAGGGGTTAGGGCTCAACGGGGTCTGAGCAGGGCCTCGGTTTGCAGAGCTGTGGCCACAGCAGAAGAGGCAGAGCCCAGCACACCCCTGCCTGGTGAGGACAGGAAGAGAGCTGTCTCCCGGCAGCCTGACTTCTGGTTCTGCTTCTTCGAGCCCCAGAACCAGACAAGCACTGCCTGCCGCTGAGCCCCTGGGAGTGGCAGGGGG